CGAGTTATGATGGAATTACAACGTAGACAACGTATTGAAACCGCGCTCAGGTTTCAGAAGCATTTAGAAAAGGTGTGATAATCGCTCTTCTACATTGGGTGTTTAATAAAAAATATATTATATAATAACATTATGGTTTGTTTCAGGTTCAAGAAATTTTACAACACGCGTTGCAAATGCTGCCCGATACTTCAGAACTGGATTCAAAATTAGCCATAAACACAGATGCTATGCAGTCTGTTGATAATTTAGGATCCGAACAACAGACTTTGGATCCGTGTAGCGCTAGCGATCGTATTATGTGCAAAGTAATAGACGATATGATTTCGTCGAATGGCCTGTTTTGAATAGGAAATATTTATAAATCTTTATTTCTAACATTTTGTAAAAACCATTGTAATTATGTATGTAACATATACCGTAATGATAATAATTCTAAAAATATATTTAATGTGAGTGGAAAACGCATGAATTATTTACAGAATAGTAGTAAATGGAGGATCAATTTGTTCATACATTGTGTACAAAGAAAACTACAATTCGGATAAATGTTCTTTACTCGAGTAGTAATATTTAATAATGTTTACATGCTTTAAACAATAATAATTATCAAGATTATTTTGGAATATTACAATATATTAATACATACAAACAAGTACTTATACAATTCACAAATAAATGTTACAAAACATTTGCATTAAATATCAATTTGGAACACATAAATCTTCGATAACTGTCGTGTTTACAAACTTTGAAGTTGACTGCATATAGAAATATTTTATTTTATTGGGCATAAAAAATACAACATATATTATGCAATAGTAATATTTATTAAATTAAATGATAATATATTCATGAATTTGTATTGTTACAGAATCTTTGTTTGATGGTGGGTAGGAAAAGGACACAAATTATACTTTTTAAACTCACCTTACAAAACAGCTACCATCAATACATAAATAATAGACAATATATAGTCGTCCATGGGCTTCTGAAAAGAAAGATTATATTATAATCACGCCTCGTAATTCTCCTTGATCGAACCTATAAATGATCTCTGTAATCAAAAACCTATTATTTCTGTCTTGTCTTGTTATTCTTGAGTCGCCATACAGCATGCAGCATCTGTAAAATAAAAACTGTGTAATGCATTATCTTCATTTCTTCTCGATCGGAGAAACTTTTAGACTTTCAAATCGTATTTTCCACGTTATTTATATAGTGTATTACTTCTTTGCATTATTTTATCGTTTATATCGACAAGAGTAGCGGTCCTTTATTTTCATAAATCAAGGAAAAAACAAAGACAAGTATACGATGATAGTAAGAATGTACACATATAGAAAGAAGTATATATACATATAATTTATTAATTTAAAAATGGAAAACAGAAATAGTCTCAGAGTTTCTCTGATTTAATCGACCACGTATTGCTTCATCCAAGTCCTTCTAGTTGCTCTGACCTTTGTTTCCTGCTAACAAAGAAATAATAAAACAGGATCGGGGAATAGGAGAAGGAAGAATCAAAGGTTAGGAATACACTTCGATACTATTTAAACGTTCAAAATTGTTGTGGAAGAGAAAAATTGTCTGTCTTTTGTAAATATGTGTGACACCAATGTCCATATCGTAGCACAAGCCAGTCATTGTACAGTTTTAAGTTTGAAATATTCAGCTTGAAACGTGTAGCACTCTTTGTTTTAACGCCTGATGTTTCTTCGACCTCTTTGAATGGTTAACAAACTGTCTTCGCACCTTTTCCGTTTTATTACTTTGTTTATGTGCTACCATGCGTACACTCCAAAATCCACTGCATTGATCTTGTATCTTCTCTCAATGTGTTTATTCACTTTCTGCAAGTTCATATCTCTCCAAATCTTAGTTATCATCCGACTTAACGATGCATGTATAAAAAAAACTCCTTACAACACCATGAGTATATTATGTCACACGAATGTTCTCTTCTTCAAGTGTTTAGCAAACAATTGGTTTTTATGATTTTATAATCAAAACTTGTATAGCTATTTAAAGCTTTCACAAAAACACTTCTTTTACACTACATTTATAAAACAAGAAAAGTTACATTTTTTTTGTCACTTCTGTTAAGAGCACTCTCTGTAAATAGTCACTTTTATGTTCTTCATTTGTATGTACATTTTACAGGCCTGTTATAGTCTTTCGTATTATTGCAGTTCTTGCCATTTCATGCTTTTTAACAATGTAATAAGAGTCAAATAGTTAATAAAAATTTTTTCTCCATGTACCGCGACCTCTTGGCCTGTAGCCACCTCTGCCACCCGACCTATTTCCTCTAAATCTACCTCGACCTGTAACAACAATAATCACTCTTCATTATACTTCTCGGTATTATTTCGAGAATTACTAAATGATCTTAAGTACCATAATTTGATGATATGTTCGAACTGTACTTTCCACTAGGTGGAGTATATAGTTCTCTCTTACTTTTATCTTCTTTACTACGTTTATTTGAATTGCTATCATTGCCAAATGTAATTGGAGTATGTCTCTTCTGGATAGGTGAATGCTTTTCATTCTAGAATGAAGTACGATAAATTTAACAAAATGTTCGATGTAACGAATTCCTATTTTACAATTGGCTTTGTATTTACCTTTTTATCATTGATCGATGTTTTCCATGAAAGATGTATGATACTTTTAAAGCTAGGCGGCGAATGAAATAGATCTTTAATCAAAGTATTAATATTATTTGTCGTTTTCAGAGCAACAACTTTTAACTGATTTTCCTCTGATTTTAATTCTTCTTCCGATTTTCCACTAATTGCTTCCCGTAATTTTTTTATGTAACCTTGAATACCACGGGCGAAATACTGTAATCTTAATCTAAATTCTTTCAACTGTTCTGGATCTTTCATTAGACATTCTGGTGCTTGTTTGCATAATTTATGAAAGGCATACATAAGACACTCGACGTGACTAAACTGCAGTTTTGGTACTTCGGTTATTTCCGTAGCTGGTGGAAGCGGCATGTACGTCTGAAAAATAAGATACAATTACTTTTCCCATAAAACTTGAAATGAACATATATTCACTGAAAAGTATCGTTACTCACTATAAGAGTATTATAAAGTTGTTGCACTTTTTCTTCTGGCTTATCAATTGTCCCACAAAATACAACTAACTCAGCAAGAAGCTTTAATAATTCCAATTGTATGTCTCTACCATCTGGTGCAGTGATTAAAGAGAGATGCGGTAAAACTTGCATACAAATGTAAGAAACAAATCGCGACGAATCTATTTGGGACTACAAACAAAAACGTAATTATTAACTATCCGAAAGGAAACGCATTTTTACCGATAGATATATAAATGATACTCACGCTAAAAAATGGAAGTGCATGTTTAATACATTGTACAAGCCTATTCCATTGTTCGATATTAGTATGTTTAAATGGTTCAGACAATTCAGCTTGTTCTACCGTGATATCTACTAATTCTTGTTGTCCATTAACCGTTGAACCTAATCTAGTCCAAGCTAATATTTCCATAATACTATGAAACTCATCTGCAGTTACATCCTGTGAAAGTGAACATCTTATAAATATTAAGAAATAATGTGCAAAAACATACTCATTTTTCCTATATACAAGAATCTTACTTGTAATACTTTTTTACACTCCGAAATTAACAGATCTTCCGGTTCCTTAATAATAACATCATGACCTATAGCTTTCAATTTTGTTGCTAAAAATTTAATGCAACGCTCGCGTGTTCCGTCGTCTCCATTAATAATTTGACTGAAAAACCCACTTATGGTACCTGAAAATAAATAAATTAAATAAGTAAAATAAAAAACTTTATAAATAATAAATATGTATACCTTTTGGATCAGATTTCATAAGAGACATAACACTATTATGAACTACAGCTAACTCAGATGGATCTTGAGCTTGGAGCAATTGAGCTAAAATGTCTGCAATTCTAGCAGTATGTTCTTTATTATCCTTACACAGAGCAGGTAAATCTTTAATAGCTTGTTTTCTAATCTGTAAAAATATCATGTGTATTTTTATTAAATATAGATAACGAGTGAGTTATATAAATAATGATAAAACATACAGCCATGTCTTCATCTTCGCATAGATCTAAATGAGCATCTATAGCCTGATCAGCTAATTTTGGAAAATATTTGAAAAACCTTGCAATGAACTGCGATGCTAATCGCTTTTCCTTGGGTGATCCCTTCACTGCTGTTAGAATCTCTAAGTATTCCTTTTCATGCTGTAATGTATAAAAACAAAAGCATTATTTCTAATTATATGTGTATATACACAATTCATGCGCGTGGGCACTGACGCAATTCGTATACACACAATGTGCACACTCATGCATTTAATCATCGTACGCATACATAGGTGTACACACGTATATACTGCTTTCTCCGTTTAGTTATTCATGTAAGAAATTCAATTATATATATATGACAGAAATATCGTTTAATACATTAGCGACATTACAGCTTTTTTCAATTTTCATAATTTAGAAAGTAAGATTTGTTTATCCTCGCGAACAGGTATAAAAATGTAAGAGCTAAACGTGGTTAACCAGTATAACCAAAATCGTATGTTACCTCCGCCAATTTGTCCTTGGCATCAGCCAAAATGCCAAAATTTTTGTATAACTTTTCGATACTGTCTGTACTCATGTTTAAACTCTTTATGTAACTTCTACACTCAAAAACACAAGTCACATAAATACGACTATATACTTAAAAATCTGAAATCTAGCCGGCCACGCACCACGCCAAGAAACGACAAAGATGGCAGCGTGTGGCAACGATTCCATCTGTATATATGCATATGGTGTGAACCACAAATGAATAAACTGTTTATCATGGCGCTCAAGTCGAAACTAAAAACGACAAACTTTACTGAAATCATTATTTCGAATAAATATTCCCTTTTAATATGTACATTTATATATATTTAAAGAAGCAGGCAATGAATCTTAAATAAACATGATACAAATAACCATAATTATTATTTTACATATATGTACATAAAATGTAAATAAAAAATTTGTATACAGAGTTTTCGATTGCGTAGAAAATTTAATACATTCGATAATCTTTTATTTATTTGTATATATCATTTTTATAAAAATGTTTGTAGTAAAAATATTTTCATCTATTTCGTCAAAATTTATAATTTTTCTGAAAGCTCTGGCACAGCCTTGAACAGATCGGCAACTAAACCATAATCAGCGACGTGGAAGATGGGGGCTTCCGGATCCTTGTTAATTGCAACAATTGTTTTGGAGTCTTTCATACCAGCGAGGTGCTGAATTGCTCCCGAAATGCCCACAGCAATATATAGATCCTGTAAAACATAAATTACACTAACTAAGAGTTGCTTTAAGATTTAAAAAAAAAGATGATAAAAGTATAATTACAGGAGCAACAATTTTTCCAGTTTGTCCAACTTGTAAATCATTGGGCACAAAACCAGCATCAACTGCAGCACGAGATGCACCAACTGCTGCATTAAGTTTATCAGCTAATGTATACAATAATTTGAAGTTATCTCCAGATTTCATTCCTCTTCCTCCAGAAACAACAACCTTTGCTGATGTTAATTCTGGTCTATCAGACTTTGTTAAGTCTTGTTTAATAAACTCTATTAACTTTGATTTGTAGTCACCGGTTGGTGCAGGTTCACATTTAGCATTCCCTCCTTCCAAAGGCATTGGTTCGAATGAAGTGCCCCTCACAGAAACTACTTTTACATTATCTTTGGACTTCAAAGTTTGAATTGCATTTCCTGCATAAATTGTACGCACAAATGTATCTGGTGCTTTGATTCCAATGATATCACTTACTGGAGATACATCTAATTTAGCTGCAACCTTAAAAAGAGTTACATTTAATGTATACCCATGGATAAAAAGAATAATTTTATATTAAGTTTTTAATTGTTCATACTTACTCTTGGTAGCAATGCTTTACCAAAAGCAGTGGCACCAGCCAAAATATGAGTAAATTTGTGCTCATTTTGAGTTGCAATAATAAGAGGAGTCAATACCTCTGGAAGTAATCCTTTAAATGCTTCATTATCCGCTATCAGTACTTTGGATACACCCTTTGCTTTACTAACAGTTTGCGCGACTACATCACACTTAGTACCAGCAACAAGAACAGTGACATCTCCACCAATCTTGCTAGCAGCGCTCAGAGCATTGGAAGTGATAGGTAATAATGATTCATTGTTGTGTTCTGCGATAACTAATGTGGATTCATAACGTGCCAATGAACCAAACTACAAATAATTAATTTGATCAAATTTTACATTAAAATATAATCTTGATTTATGTTTGAAAAAAGTATAGAATTTATAATTAGTCTAGAGTGTTAAATTACATAACTATCATATGTTACATGTCAATATTTATAACAAAACGTTCCATTTTTGTGTAAAATATTTCTCGATATATGTTTATTTACGATATTAATAAGAAAGAAAAGATAAGCATGAAAATATTACAAATAATCAAAATTACTATGTTTCATTTTGCATGAAAATTTATTTTCTTCGTTACAATAATGTTTAGTTTTATATAAGTATATGTGGTTAGCACATAACAAATGAAAATCAAAAAAGTTCGAAATCTCTTTTACTCACTTTATTACTAAGTCGTAATGTTCTAAAATATGTGGCCAACATTGTTGCAACGTATAATTGTTAATTACTGCTTCTTAATGGATTATTGAATAAGAGAAAAAAAAATTAATTCGTATCTAGAGTTAAAGTCCAAAGTCCTTTAGTAAAGAAATAATGATACTCATTCCTGGATCCAAAATATTCCTGTTTAAACGGTATAATAAACGGTATTTCGTGAAAATTACTTAAAATAATGATATATAAAATTTATTTAAATATGAAATTTATTTAAATATGAAATATATTTGATGTTTTTTTCGAAATACAATATTATAACGCAACAGACGTATATTAATAATTATTTTAAGGATAAAAGTATAAAATATATAGAACAAGGAATGTAAAAATGTAATAATTGTTCATATCAATGTAAATAAAATGTTTATATAAAATTGTTGAAAACATACTAGATTTAGTGCTTATTTTATAGTTGTTGGTTACATAGGTATAGGGACATTTTCTTCGAAATACAGTAGCATAATCCAAACGTCGTTCATTCCGTGAGGTGCAGTTAGAGCAAAATGGTAATATTTAGGTTATGATTTAAAATCTGATTAATTTCTTGACATCCTATTAGATGGATCGAAATGATTTTTAGAAAATAATTCAACGAGCATCTCTTAATTTTTCGATTTGTTTCAGTCTGCTCATAAAACGTTTATTATTAAGCGAAAGCTTGCCAAGAAGTTGAAGCAAAACAGACCGATTCCACAATGGGTCAGGATGCGTACTGGTAATACCATCCGGTAAGTATTATTATAATAATTAATTGCATCTGTGTTAGTTAAATTAGTTTTATATGTATAAAATTCATATTATATTCGAGCATTTCTTCAGTTAAAATAATAAATTCATTTTTTAATTTAATGGTCTTATTGGGACTATATATATATAATGGTCGTATATCTGGACGTTACAAATGTAGCAAACTCTTGTAAAATAATTTATGATAATGAAATATGTATAGATATTGTATAGTTTAGATACATAATCTATTTATCCCTTTCAGATACAACGCGAAAAGGCGTCATTGGAGAAGAACTAAGTTGAAGCTGTAAATTAATTTTAACTTGTTTCAATTGTATTATTGTATATCAATTTATTCTTGAATAAATTCAATCCTTAATATGTAAACTTGTTTTTAAATATAGTAAAGCCTATTCTTTAAACACAATATATATCAAAGTAACACAATAAATGTGACAAATTAATAATACAGTAATTAGTTTATTTTTATACATATAGATTACAGAGAATTGAACACTTTGCGACGCCGCATTTTAGCCATCCAGTCTCCAAATAGATCTCCGCCATTTTTAGCAGGAGGTGCATAATAATTTTCAGGTGGTTTTCCTTCTTCTAATCGTACAAAGTAATGAGTATACTTATAACGCACTTCCCCTGGTCGGGCTCTGGCATGACGACGTATTCCTTTTATTACTATACCCTTTCCCACGAAAGATTCAGCTAGAAAAGAAGAAAAATTATACAAACATTAAAGGAAACATTCAACAATGATTATTATACTCACCAACCCATAAGTTACTCTTAAATTCGATATTATGTTCTTCTACAGCCATATGTTGTGCTTCTAATATAACTTCTTTTGCAATAGCTGCACCCTTTTTCTTTAAAAAACTTAATTGTTTAACAGCTTCATCCACAGTCATACCTCTTACCAAACAAGCAACGTACCACATTTTGTCTGGACTATATTTTATATTTTTTTTCACATGACATACATACTAAAAATCATTCAAAGATGTGATTATTTATAGGAAAGAAGTGAAATAACTTTTATTATACAAAATACTCACACCAGGTCTTCTTTCTTCGCCAGGTTTTTGCGGAGGATAAATGACTTTATTATATTGAAGGAAAGTTTTTTTTTCTTCTACGTGTAAGGCAGAAGATCCATGTATGTTTGAAGATGGAACCATATACAATGATTTCAGTATATTAGACGAACAATTTGAATTATTTAAACCGAACGTGTTACTTAACGTAAAACGTAAACATTGTTTTATTGACTGCATTTTCTGTGGAAGATGTACATTAAATTAAACACAAAGTAAATAAGGATTGATCTATTTATAGAAATCATTATTGTTGGAAATTGTTTAAACTGAAATAAGAGTTTCAGCGTTAGAATCTACGATATATTAAAAGATAACCTCTACATTAGAAGATAGCATTATTATTAAAGACAATTTATGTAATTAAAGATTTACTCACGTTTGTTTAAAATTCTTTATAAATACTCGAAAATTTTACGTTCAATAACTAATTATTTAATATTGTACTGTAAAATACGAACACATATACAAACACAAATCTACATTGCGTATTGTATCAACACAATCGACAAATCGTGAATTCATATAAGTAGAAGAAAATTTAATCGTAACTATTTCAAGTTACATGTACATAATTTATGATCTCTTTTTATTGAGAAATGATCATGTTCTTTAGGTAAAATTCTTTAAAAAATAATTATTTGTGGAACTTGTGGAATTGTGGACGAAAACTTTTCTGGTGGAAAAAGTCACATGACTTGCCGTATGCTTGAAATAAATAGAAATTCGATAGAAATTATGTACGTTATAGAAAATTGTACAAAGATATCACATAAAGTAATTGAAATAAAAATATATTTATTTATGAATTTTGCTTCTGTAGCTTCTTGAAGAAGACACCGATGTCGCTGCAAAATATTTCACGAATATACGAACTACTACCTAACTACAATTACTATAGTTTATTCACAAGATTAAATTCAAAGTACTGCAAAGTACTTGTGAATGTTTTATTTCATTTCATGTTGAAACATAAATGCTTTATGTTACTTTAAATCAAGTCCATTTGATAATATTTCTCAGAATTTATTATTTGTATATGAACAAAAAGTGTTACAATAGCGTTACATATAGTTACAAATTTTTATTCCAAAAAGACAATTACAGGGGCCTCATCTTCGTTCTCATCCTGTAAATCACAAAAATCCCACGAGAACTTCATGGTTAGTCGTTCGCGAAAACGAGACGTGTAAGACTTTAAACGTCCATCCAATTCAGAATTGATCTCAATATTTGCAAAAAGTTTGCGCAAGTTGTAGTAAATAAAATTATTATTGGCAACAATATCGCAAAGCATGTCTTCTGGTACATGGGTTAATTGAGTTTCCAATGTTTTCATAAATTCGATATAAATAACACGACGCCGCAATATTGCAGAATCGGCGCCGCAAATAAGGTATATCAGCTTTTTCCAATGCTCAAAAGCATCAAGACTTTGTCCAACCAGGAAACAAACAAATGCCAGTTGCATTTCGCCGATAATCTCCATAGGTCTAAAAATAAAAAGATCAATAGAGGAAATAATAATTATTGTTAAACATGAAATAACGACGAGCATTGATCTTACAATGTTAACGTATCGAGAAGCGTGTCTAGCGCGTAACTAGAATCAAGAGAATGTTTTGTGATTTCAGTTGGTGTTGCATCGTCTGGATAACTTTTATCAGGCAATTTGGACAGCCGAAGTTCTGTTCCAGGTTTAGGTTTCAAATCAGGAAGCAATTCTTCCTCTTTTGCTTCAGTAGTAAGCGCCCTTCTTCTTTTTTTCGGACTTGATATTCCACCTCTTGGTCTCATAGCATCGCTACACGGCTCTAGCTCTAACGCCGATCGTACAAAACTGAAATAATACAAATGAATTTATACCTTACAAAAAATAGAAACTGATAGTTTCCATCTTTCTACATACCCACATATAGGTGAACAACGTTCAACTATGGAAGGAGTAATATGATTTGTTAATTCCTTCCATTGATTCCACACATCGTAAGGATAACATCCTAGATACCTGTCTAGCTCTTTCAAATTATCCCTTAGCCTTTGAACTACTTCCTCTGGTGCAACTTTATGGGAAAGATTTAATCTTATTGATAAAATATATAATTTCTGTCGCGTTTAAAATATGTATCAAATATTATTATACCTTCTGAACTAAGGTCTTCCCCTTTCACGTCCCAACGTCTGACTAAAAATTCAGATTTCTTAAATGTATGAAGAAAACCAATTTTAGGTGCTGTTTCTCCAAATTCATTTACAGCACTTCAACAGAGATATGCACACGTAAATATTTGAACGATAATAAAAAATGTTATCAATTGTTATGTAGTTACCTGTAATGTACATAGTGGAATCCTGGTGGAATCACTTTTATGCCTTTAAAATCATTTTCCGTGTTCCATAATTTTAAATCGATTCCAAATTCTGTACCGCTTGGTACGTTCAGTACAACTAATGTACTACCTTCGACTAAAAGTCTCGCAGCTAAATCTTGATTCGTTTCTACTCCTTCGTTTGTCATGATCAATCAAATTAATTAAACGAAACAGTTTTCCTCCTTTCTTTACTTTCGAATTCAATTATTAATATTCATACATTCAATTTACTAGTACGAACTCCTGGTTTGCTATGATTTTAAGATGCTGAGCCATACTGAACTTAATATTGAGGTTAATCAAGGTTAAATTTTCTAATGACAGGTTTTCTTGTTGCAACTGGTTGCAACAACAATCTGAATAAACTTTAACCTTCGACAGATTGCTGTCCTATCATACCTCATTTGTTATCCTGTAATCCTGCTATCAGGAGACATGAAGACAGGTACTTCGAAATTGGAATACAACAAAATGGCGCATGAAATCCTAATTGCGTACCGCCTCCGAACAATATTCATGATTAATTAAGCTCGACATAAATTTATGCAACAATTTATACTTTATATTGCAATTATAAAAGTGCATAATTCATTTGCAGGAAGTTAATATAACTATCGAAATAAGCAGGGTCAATCAATGATCGTCTCCAAAAATACTTGATAAGTATTTCATTTCAATTAAAATCGTACTAAACATAATCTGAATGTTGACATTGATCTAGGCTAGTTAACATGAGTGCAAAAACGTATGAATTATTTGCAGAATATTAATAAATTAATGATAATAGCGATTTTAATAATGACTGATTTCAGTGGCGCCATCGGTGGCAAAACGCCCAAGTTTGTAATGAAAATAGTTCTTACTATTTCTCTAAGATGGCACCACCAATACCTTTTAATAAATTATTCCTCACTTTACATAAATCTATAATTAATACGATTACTTGCTTCATAATACTACAATACATGTGTTAATATGTTAAATTTATCATCTGTATGAATAATTATTTAATTTAACAATAATTATAGATCCTTTGGTTAGTGGCGCCATTTAGCGGCAACAATGGAAGCTATTTTCACTACAAACTTGGGAGTTTTGCCACCGATGGCGCCACTAAAACTAAAATCCAGTGTCGTACTTAGAAACTGCAAGGTCCCCTTTTACGAACATTTTTGTATAGTTTGGAATTTTGTTTGAGTGGAATCTGAATTTTATTCGATAAGACTACAGTCGAATACCCTAGTATTATCGCATGTTTGGAATACAGAGTGCGCTTTCTTTTTCTAATAATTTTCTACTTCAGCATACCTCATCATCACTGATATACTATAAACATAAACGGAGTATAAATCACGTGTAAGGGTGTGCACGTGTAAAAGTTGCTATGATCGTAAAGTCTAATTAAAAACATTTTATTCGTATTCAGTATTGTATATCTACTTTAATTTGATGTGATATCATTCCACACATTCACACAAGTTTTAAATAGGTAAGTAATAAATTAATTGATAGGTTTGCTTTGTTTATTGTATAGGTTATATTGATCAGTTCATGTAAGACATGAGTAAGGATAGCACAGTCTTTTTGATTGTTCATCGTATTTTGTATTTTTAGTTTGTTATTAGAGCACTGTAAAATGGTGAAACGAAAAATAAATACTGAAACTGAACTGAAGGTCAAGAAGAAGAAGAAATGTTTAAATAATGATGTCAATAACGATATTAGTGACATCAAAGAAGCTGTGGACAATAAACCAAGGATTAAGAAAAAGAAGAAGGAAATTTATGAAAAATCTATAATTACTGTTGATAAAGAGAATGATGAACTTGTTACTAACAATGCAATGGAAAAGAAAGAAGCAGCCAATAAAAATTTCAAACAAGCTAACACTTTGGAAAAACCTAATTGGCTTGAAATTAAGAAACAGAAAAAAGAACTGAAGGAAAAGTATAAAGCAAAAAAATTAAATGACATTTATGATATATCAGTCAGGGTAAAACAAATAGGTGAAAAATTACGTAGAGCAGATTGTAAAAAGTTAGAACGTAAAAAATTGATTAAACAAGCACACGAGTTATTAAGAAATCATTACAATAAAATAATACTCACGCATGATATGTCTCGTATCGTTCAGTGGATGTTTAAATATAGCGATTCAGAAATTCGAACAGTTATTTTTAATGAATTAGAATCGTCACTCTTAACTATGATTCCATCAAAATATGCAAAAAATTGTGTGAAGGCTATGTTAAAATATGGTTCTCCAGAAATTAGACAAAAAATCATTTCTATTTGTTATGGCCATGTTGTGAGATTCATGAGTCATTCTGTATCTGCAGCATTGTTAAATATTATGTATACTCAGTATGCTACAGATATAGAGAAGATATACTTTAAACAAGAATTTTATGGTGACATGTACAAACAGGCTAAGGATAAAGAAGTTAAGACTTTGTCTGATGTATTTAAAGATGCAGAGAATATGAAATCAGCAACACTATCTGCTGTAAAAGGCAATCTAACAAGGATACTGAATAAAAAGCTTCTGAATTCTATGCTTGTGCAATTTGTTCTTTCAGAGTTCTTGGATGATTGTTCCAGTGAAGATAGAACAGAAATGATCGTAATGTTAAGAGATTCTATAGTAGAATTATCTGAAACTAAGCTTGGTACTAAAGTTGCAGTAACATGTATATGGCATGGTACAAACAAAGATAGAAAAATTATAATGAAATCTCTTAAAGAACATGTAAAGACTATTTCTATGTCTGAACATGGATTCTTGATATTACTGGCTTTATTTGATACAGTAGATGACACTGTTCTCCTGAAGAAAATTATTCTTTCAGAAATTTTGAAAGATCTGATAGATATAGCATCAAATGTCCATGGAAGACATGTTGTTTTGTATCTAGTAGCAAGAAGAAATTTATCTTACTTTAATCCTATTATAATTGAATATTTGCGTCAAGGCGACTGCAATGAAACAAGTAAAAAGCCTGCTGAAGTTAGAGAGAAAGAACTTCGGGACTCAATTTCTGATTCGCTTCTTGAGGCTGTAGCACTAAATACAGCAACTTGGATGTCCAATAGTTCCATAGCAATGGTGACTTTGGCAATACTAAAAGTAGGCACAGGAGAAAAATTAGAGCAAGCTTTCGAATCCATTGCTACATTCGTCACAGATTTGAAAGCAAGAATTACAGAAAACGATGCTGAATGCAAGATCGTCGAACATGCAGGTCTACACATGGTGTTAAAAAAAGTAATACAAAACGATATACTATTATCGGCGAAAAGCGAAACTACTTTTGGAGAAATATTAATTAATCATTTGAAGACAAATGTCATAGAACAATGGATAGAACATAACAGAGGATGCTTTTTATTTATATTTTTATTAGAAAATGAAACAAAGTCAACTAAAGATACTCTGCTTTATAAATTGAAACCAATGATAAATATTCTAAAATCCAAATCGAGTCCGGGTGCTTCAATATTGCTTAAAAAAATTAAGTTAAATGACACATCGACTTAAATAAGCCTCACATAATCAAAGTTGTATGAATTTGTAAACTGTAAAATTATGAATAGAAAATGCTTGTTTTAAAAGCAATTACGAGAGAGTGTCAAATGCAATATCTTGACTGAGTATAAATTCACTTGTTATATTTTTATGTGTATTATAAATACAATTTATTCAGTTTAATATCAACTCCAAGATTACTTTGTTCTATTTTTTAATTTTTGTAGCACAGGTAAATAAGTATTTATGTAAAAATTATACATAATATGTAATTACGCTCATTAGTTATGTGTTGTACATCATTTTACTTACCTAGAATTATGTGAAAATATGGTAGAAAAAGATATTCTAAATGTATATCTTGTCAGTGCGAAAAGGTTTTTAAATAAATTCAACTATTTCAACATTATCAAACATAAAAATGTTTGGGAACAACATAATTTGTGTAATATATTATTTGCACAGAACTCGCAAGGAGACAAATATATATATATGTATATATATATATTTTTCCTATCTTTTTACAACACAATATAAAAAAAATAGGAAATTATAAAAAATACCAATGCTAAAGTGAAATTTAAATAATGTATTATTTGTTGTTACTGTTAATACTAACCACGTTTATAACGATATAACAATTAAATGAACAGGTATTGCCAGATATTATACTTTTTTGTTATTCTGAAATGACTGAAAATGCAGTTACCAACATAAAGGTACACAACATCGATTAGATAGTACTAAAATCGTTCAGCGTCTTCATAGTTTAAATATTTCTTTGATATCCATAAGCCTAATTCGAATTTCCGGTACGTTATCCTTTGTTAATTGTGGCATAACCTCTCGAAATATTTCGGCCATTTGATCAAATTGTTTAGTATTTCCAGTATCGCGTAATTTCTTACCCAGAGATAAAGCTATATTCAAGGCTTCTTTCCTTATTCTGATATACGAAATACCTGCAAAAAAACAAAAAATAAAAGAAACAAACCAGCTAAGGAAAAGTGAAGTAAATACACTTACCTATACTCTGTTTTAATATTTTGTTAAGTGTATCGCAAATCACATTTAACATTTCTTCTTCTTTTATCGACAATTTAGAACTGTTCACGTTGAGCAAAGCAAGTTTATCGACAAATAGGTTAAGCGTTGCTAACATTGATATTTGAATGGGTGTAGACTGCACGGGAAACTTCGTGCCAAAATGGGTTACAAATTCTACACAGTATTTATCTAAAAAAAAAAAGAAGAAAAACCTGAAGAAATAATACAAATATTTCGTATAACTAATTCACAACGATGCAATCACCTTGAGTTTCTTTACAGGAAGGCCATGCTTTCCCAAGTGTACCATAAACAGTCTCGTATAATTTTAGAATATTCTCGTCCCTCTTTACTTTCTCATCGAAGATCAAAGATTCGTTTTCATCTTTCTTTGGCAACTACGGCATACAATAATTATGTAACAATGTTGAACAAAATATGATCGTATTGGTCTTATTATTGATAGTACATACCGTTGTCCAAATTTCATTAGCAATGTCATATACCTCTTTAAATTTATCAATGTCCAGTGCGTGCAAGACCATGCCAAATGCTTGTAACGCGTAACGACGGTATTCTAAAGCTTCCTTCTTACTTTCTCGATGCAATACTTGCACTATAATTGTAGATGTTTCAGAATCCTCTTTAAGAGCTTGTCTAAAATGAAAAGTATACTATAGTACATATAGTTATAGTATAACATATCGAATTTTTATATTTTTACATGCGTACTTGCTATTGCACGCTAACGTAGCAAGTGCGTTTAATAATCGTTCCTTTCCATCCCAAGTTCTTCCACGTAAGCCATCCGTTAACACCTTCAACAATGTATTCCTCATGGTTACATCGATATCGCTGCCTAATTTTTCAGCTAGAGTATGGATTGCATTTGCAGCTTGAGCTTTCGTAGTCCAAGATGACGATTCCAAAGATGAACGTAAAAGTTCCGTTACCGTTTCTACGTTTTGCTTAATTCCGGCCTCAGTACCCGGTGTTATGTCGTTCCATAAATCATTCCATAAATCAACCAAATTTTCATTATCTAACAAAATGTTGAAAGTTAATATATTAAGTTATTTTTTAATTAAATTATATGACCTCGC